TGGAGGGAGTGGCTGACCCTGGCTCTGCCAGATAAGGGCTTACAATGGGTCTTTTTCTCCAGGTAGCAGAAGGTGAGGTAACTCAGCTCCACAGAGCCCACTCAGTGCTCTGTATTCTGCTGATCCCTCTCCACAATTCCTCCTCCTCCTTTTTCTTCTCCTCCTCCTCCTCTTTCTTCTTCTTCTTCTTCTTCTTCTTCTTCTTCTTCTTCTTCTTCTTCTTCTTCTTCTTCTTCTTCTTCTTCTTCTTCTTCTTCTTCTTCTTCTCCTTCGCCAGGCAGGGGCTCTGTTCTGCGGAACCACACCTCCGATTCCTTAATTTCTAACAAAAGCTGTGGACTGGCCACTCCTGAAAAGGTGGCAAGATAGGTCAAGGGACAGTCAAGATGTCTCCATTCTTGTCTGTGACTAAAATCAGACAGGAAACTGTGTGCCCTGTAGATAAAGGAAGGCTGGGGCCGGGGAAATGACCTCAGATGTGTTTGTATTGCTATAAATCCTTCGGTGGGGAAAACGTTTGATGCAGTTAGAATGAGGTGAAAGGGCAAATTTATAAATCATGTATCATTTGCATGGGTGACGTGAGACACACCCTTGTTGTGGGAAGTGATACTGAAGCTATGTTTACTAGGTGAGAAATGCCTGGCTCAGGATGAAGGCGGAGAAGGGTGTCCTGCGGTGCTGCAGAAGGAAGGTGTGCTCAATGTAAACATTGGTGCACCTGTTACCTTGAACAGTGCAGCCCCCGAGAAGCCAGCACAGATGTGAGAGCGGATGCTGCCTAGGTCACTCACCATGATGTTAGGAGTGGGTGGGTCTCTCTCCTTGGGAGCATGCAGTGAGCTGGAAGGCTCCAGGGTCTCTCCACAGAGCCCGACCACAATACAACTTCTGTTGGGGTCAGAAGGAAGTGGACTGACATAGTCATCTGTTTTGGGTTATAGTCATTGTCATTATTTTTTAAAATAAGCAAACAAGCAAATTAAACTGCCAAAGAGCTTCCAGGATGTCTGAAAGGGAACAGGCACTCCTCAGGCCACAGGAAAATAATAAGGGCTGAAGCTCTGTGTCCCAGCTTTGGCTGGCAGAGTTCAGGGCTGTCTCTTTTCTGTGTCCTCAAGCTTAAAGTGCAAGGGTTGGACATGGGCAATTGGAAAATGGTGTGCACTCACCCAGCAAGCATGAGGACTGGGCACTGTCCCCAGCACCACAAAGTAAAATAAAACTAAACAGAAGAAGAAAAGAAACAACAACTTGGATTAAAATAGCTCTGTTTTCCTACATCATGGATACCTTTAAAAGTACAAAATTATGACAAGGGCATGAAAGATGCTGGCACAAAAACAGGGGGCAGTGAGCGATCTAGCAGAGCAACTTAGCTCGTCAAAGTAAGTAAGATCTTATATATAACGTGTATAGTAAACGTTTTATAGATATGTTTTCGTGTCAGAAATGCCTCTAATATACATTTCCTAGAGCAGTTTTAAAAAGACCTATTTTTATATTTTTGTTAATTTTTTAATCATGTGTGGGAATAGGCCAGAGTCATTGGAGCCTGTGGGGCTGGAGTTACAGCCATTGCCAGCTGCCATGGGGGCAGAGACCCAAACTCAGGTCCTCTATCAGAGCAGTGCACGCTCATCACCCCTGAGCCATCCCTCTGGCCCTAAGTCAGTTGGCAGGCCCAGAATTCCCCTACACCTCTCGTCCTCTACAGCTTCCCCTCTTCCTACCTTGCTTGGGATGTAGTGAGTTTGCTCATGGGTGCGACAGCAATGTTGCTTAGAAGACAGTTTGAGGAGGTAGAAGCAGGCGGATCTCTGTGAGTTCGAGGCCAGCCTAGTCTACAAGAGCAAGTTCCCAGGACAGGCTCTAAAACTACATAGAAACCCTGTCTCAAAAAACCAAAAAAGAACCAGAAGACAGTTTGAGAAAGTTCAAGGTTGGAAATCTTTAAAGACCCCTTTGCCATCTCTGGAAAAACAAAGAACCCCCCTTCCAAAGGGCTTTCTTTCAACCTGAGCAGAGGCAGCCACCTTGTTGCTGACCCACATCCCCAGTCCTGGAAACCTTAAGTAATTATTAAACCCCCAATAGCAGATCATTCAGCAAAAAGCATTTTCATTCCCATGGCATCCTATTTGAGTCACGTAATAACCCCATGAGTCGGCCACTCTCATCTGAAACACAAGAAAGCAAATCTAAACACAAGGTAAACAGAGAGAGGAGAACAAACTTCCTGGTGTCCAACCCTGGTCTCTTAATGGGCCACATAGCTCTTGCGTGACTATCCTCTGAATTGGAAGCTCCTCTGAGGGGCTGGAAGCCCAAAGAAAAGAAATCCTATTTTAGAGATCAAAGAAACTTGATCCCCATTACCAAAGAACACACTGAAAATAGAATGTATTAGGAAGGAGGTTGAATAGATCCATGAACAAGTCCATGATACATTATTAAAAGCAAGTTTCTATCATTGGAACCTGCTCCTATGGGCAGCCATTGCTTCCTCATGCCTGTGTAGGAGAGAGTCCCAGGCTGGGCACATCCAGACCTGCCTGCAGCCAGTACAGAGCCACTTTCCTTTTCCTCAGAGCGCCGTGCAGGGACCGTGAGAGGAACTGAAGATAATCCACCAGTCTCAAACACTAACGTTCTGTCTTAGTCTTTACTCACACATTCCTGCAGGGTTTATAGACTTCATATTACAGCTCACAGACAAATTTGCTTGCCACTTACTTGGGGGGCAAGGTGACATTATTAATTTGATATGTCTTTATAATTACGCTACCACCCCTCCTAATACTATACAGTACCACACCAGGCTGGTGTGCTGAATGGCACTGTTCCTCCATTTTTGAACATAATTATTTCCAGTGTCACATAGTCAAAAAAGTATATTAGACCAGGCTTGATGGGTGTGCTCTTGAGAGTTCAAGGTCAGCCTGAGCTACATAGCCAGTCTCAAAACAAACAAACAGAACCCAGAGTTTTAGAACTATTGTAATCATATGTGGAATTTTGAAACTTATTATTCTGAGATTAAAGATTCAGGGGAGTCACTGCTCCAGGAGAATAACCTGATGTTTTACTTTTAATTTTTTGTCATTTCGGGCTTACTAGGGGCTGGCAAGAATAGTGCAAAGCCCTCTGGGGCAGCCTGGTGAGCCATCCTCCGTCGGCATCACCATTGCTAGGGGCTCTTTCCTTACTTGCCTTTGCCACACCTATTGTTTCTCAGGGTGTGTGTGTGAGTGTGCAATTCACACACCTCGTCCAGCTGGCCAGTGCAAGTGCCCAGTCTAGATGGAGGTCTAGACAATCTACGATGCGTTAACGTCTAAGGAGATAGGAACAAACGTCTGCTCCCCTTAGACACCTTACTGAGGACGGACACAAGAAACAATCCCACGAGTCTAGTTTGGAGAATTAAACAATGAGTTTAACTAGGGTTACTTAGAGGAGTGCGGGTGAGGGGTGACCTATGGGAGCACGGTCAGCCATATCACAGGACAAAGTCCCTGTCACTACAGTATCTGCTAATAGCCCCTACATCTCTGGGAGAACGGGCGCAGGGTGGGAGATGCAGGGCTGTGAGCCTTGCATCTTGGTAGGATCTGACTTCAAGGCAGGACCAGCCATGACATGCCATGAGGGGCACTGCCCCACGGTATGCTCCGAAAACCCCAGCTGAGGTTTCTCTCATTTATTCTCGAAAACTGCATAGTCTCCGTTTAACAGGAGGCCCCTTTAGACTTCAGTCATAGTCACACGGCCAGTGTCTGGCCCACGTCTCTTTCCTTGGGCTTTTCTCAGAATCACATCCTTCTTACTTAGTGCTTAGTGTCATCCTGGTCTCTGTCAGCTGTCCACTGCCCTCTGCCCTCCACAGGTGACCCCCACTGCAGAAGCTGACCTTACGGACTCTTCTTACCTGTCACCAAGTTATCAGACTTGAATTTTATTTCTCTCCAGAGCTTCCAGGCAAGTTTCCCAGGACGTGCTGCCACCAAGATTCATTTTCTTTTTCCCACCCCACAGCAATCCTTTGACGAAAATCAAAGTGCCCATTGTCAGGGCATCAACTTCCCTTACCACTGGTTCCTGGGGCTCCCCTGAGGTCTGACAGGGGAAACAAACTCATAGATGGTAGAAACACAAAAGCCGAGATTTCTGGAGCTGTCAAGTTTTAGCTGGTTTCTATCCTTTGTGTGCAATTCAGCAAAGCTGGGGCTGCGATGACTATGGAGACCTCCTCCTCCCCACAGCTACTCCGCAGTCAAGAGTGACAAACCTAGGTCACTCGCTGAGTCTCTCTGCTGTGCAGACAGCTGCAAGGGAAGACTACTAAACTGGACTGTTGGGCGACTTGGTGCCCCGGGACTGTTGAGGCTTTGTAGGTTGTGAAAGGGCCACTATAGGCCACTAGAATGGCAGTTTTCAGGAGCTTTCGTTGTGCCGCCTCCCGGGGAGGGCTTAGGGGAAGGAGGGCTTGTGATGGGATTTCGGAGGGCGACGCTGGAAAGAACTGCTCCAATCCTTCACTTTCCCCAATTCTCGGAGTGCTGTCAGCTGAAAAGTGGCCGGGAAGCGCCTCCACCCAGGAGAGCAGCAGGTCAGAGGTAGGGATAGCACCAACAGCCCTGACGTCATGTGCTTACTGTCCCAGTCACTCCCAAGCCAGCACAGCATCCACACGTCCTGAGGGGTAGTTACTTCTTCAAATTCCAGACGAAGTCCCTAGTCGGGCGGGGCTGTTTAGAACTATAAACTTATGGTCAAGACGGGGACTTGGAGCAGCCGGTCCTGAGAGTCCCTTTTAGGCCTTTGAGACCAGGATATTAAAACAGGATGAATCTTAAGTCCCTTCCAACTTTGAAAATTCCTGTGATTCGATGACATCAGTACGGTGAATAATCAAGCTGGCGCCCAGCCAAGACTGGCTGTGCTCCTCTGCGCGCACTTCCTCCCCCTCCTCAGAGACCGCTCCATTGGCTCCTTAGTGGCCCGGTCCACCCGGCACCCACCGGCACAGGAGAAACCCGCCTACACAGAATCACTGGCCCCACCCCTCCTTCTCCCTTAAAATTGGCTTGAGCTGCTCAGGGAGACAGAGCCTGCGGTAACCCAGAGCTCAGCACTGAGAAGAAGCCCCAGCGAGGCTGGGAAAAGAAGCGAGAACTCGCGGTAAGCTGGGTTTCTGCGCCTGTCTAACAGCCTACCCCTCTGTCCCTTGAAGTGTTTGGGGGGTAAACTGAGCCAGCGAAGTTTCAGCCTTGTAATTCAGGCAGAAGGAGGACCAGCTAGCATCCACATAGAAGGGGGAGTTCTTTGCAATGTCTCCGGGTAAGTTGAAGTGATTCCTAGAGGGAGAGACTAGGAGAGATGCGTTTCTTGCAGAAGTCGTGCTTCCACAGTAAGGGGAGAAAGTAAAAAGAATGACTCGGGTCATTTGAACAGACAATGGGAGCGGTACTGACGGGCAGGATTACAATCAGCAGCCTTGGAGAGCTGAGAGGGTCCTAGCGGGTGGTGTATGGCTGCTTTTTTCCTCCAGTGGAACCACTAAGAAACAGGCTGGGCACCAGGGAGGAGGATTTGCCCGAAGAGCACGATTAACTAGGCAGGAAGTGCTGGGAGAGAGAAGTCGGGACTTTTAGGAACCTCTCCTTACCACTTGGAGTCAGGATGCAAACCTGCCTCTGGTCCCCCCGCCACTCATCACATCCTCTCAACGGTTTACCAGTCCGTTTGACCCCTTGCTCATCATGCACCAACGCCTTTGCTTTCTCACGCCGCAGCAGCAAAAAAAAGTCCAAAAGCTCTCGGGATTGTCTCGGGACCTTTGTCTTCCTAACATCACAGAGACAGTGGGAGGACGCAGGGTGGGGGAGGGAAGAAAGGGAAGAAAGTATGCGGAGCTCCCAGATAACTAAGGACAAACTTCAGTGCCAAGAAATGCAGTAGCAGCAATGGTTTATTTGGTGGTCGATTTGGAACGATACAGTGGTCTTCCTCAGCGGATGATGGGGCAGGGGGCATAAACAAAAAAGTGTGTGTGTGTGTGTGTGTGTGTGTGTGGTGGAGGTGGGGGTTTACAATCCCGTGAGCACATCCCAAGTGCAACTGGAGAACACTTACTGGGAGGCTACTCAGGGATTTTTTTGCTGAGCTGCAGACCCTGGCCTATGCAGAATCAATCACTGCAGGTCAGTGGCATGCTGAGTGCAAACAGCCAGTGGGGGTTAAATCATATTCAATCCCAGACGGGATACTGAAAACACTAAAACGTAAATAGTTCCCTCGGGGCATCAGTCTATTCTGCCTAAAGTGTTTTCAGGAGAGCACCCTTCCCCCATCCACCCAAACTGGAATAGGGCAGACTTTCCCCGGACACCCCCAGACCATTTGGGGAGCCTCCTGAGAGATACACAGCAAGCAGCTAGTTTGCTTCCTCCCAGACTCAGGATGCTTGGTGCAACCAGGAGGAGCCGAGGAGCATCCTAGGTTCTGGGAAGGCTTTGGGGAGCCATGAAAGGAAAGGCTGCACACATTCAGCGTGCTCAGTGAGCAGTGGGCTCAGCCAGGGGCCGAGAATGACTCATAGCGTCCTGCCGGGCTCTTCCACTAGAAAGACTGTGAGTGCGGTTGTTTTCAATCCGATGGGGGAGGCTGCAACATGGCTCATCATCGACAGTGGGTTTAGGGCCATTCAAAACTTACAATTCCCACACTTCTCTGAGACACCAAGTCTCCATGAGGGAGGGCCTTTTGCGGTCTGAGTTGAAATAGTCAATGCAATCTGACTTCTTGGCAACTGTTTTTTTTTTTTTTTTTTTTTTTTTTTTTTTTTTTTTTTTTTTTTGCTTCTCTGTTTTCTCTGAGTGATTTCAGCTCTCTCTGGTCTGATAAAAATCGGGTCATGAAGAACTGGAATATTCTGTTAATTTCTTTTTGGGGGCTATTCACTTTGGACATACTGGCAGAAAATTCTGCATGAAGTGGCTAAAAACACAGAAATCGGGAATGGATGCCAGCTTTTGAGCTAGCCACATGACCGGTCTCACTTCAAACCCAATCAGAGTGCTGATGACACAGATTTATAGACAATTAGAGCTAGAGTTGGGGCTGTAGCTGAGCTGGCAGTGTGTTCACCCAGCATGGGGAGTCTTTAGGCTTGACCCCCAGCACCACATAAACTGGGTGAGGTGGCGAACACTTCTAGTCCCTGATACTCAGGATACTCAGGAGGCAAGAAGATCAGAAGTTCAAGGCTAGCCTGGGATACAATAAAATCTTATCTTCAGAAAGAAAGAAAGAAAGAAAGAAAGAAAGAAAGAAAGAAAGAAAGAAAGAAAGAAAGAAAGAAAGAAAGAAAGAAAGGAGGGGAACGGAGGGGGAGGAAAGGAAGGAAAGAAAAAGAAAATTGCAAGTTGAGATTCTCAAAGCCCTGGTTAAGCACCATTGTCTTCAACACCACCCCAGCTGTCTACTTTCACCTTGCGTGGGAGACAAGCTTTTGTAGACAGGAGTGCAAGGCAAGATTAAACTAAATTCCTGTTCCTGGAAGAGAGAACGAAGCAGTTTGCTGGTCATGGAGCACTCATTTCTCTGGCATGTTTGAAGGGGCAGCCCAGGAGAGCCGTGTCAGCACAGCCCAGGAGACACGAGCCAGCTGTTCCCCATGCAGCGACTGAAGAACTGGGTGTCCTTAGCTGTGTCTGCCACGCCACTGGCCAAGATTCTGGGGGTGACCTGTGATTGACAGGTCCTACTGAGGTATACAGACTATGTGATGCTCCTGACACACATCAGAGACCCCAGAACTTTCTTTGGGGATTGGCCTAGAAGACCGAAGTCCGCCTGATTAGTGCAAGGTTAGGCTGGCCCCACAAGCGGAAGACGTTTGTACTGAAAGTCTCTTATGTGGGGCAAATGTTCTGTTAGCATACACCTGAGGGTTAAGGGCTCCACAGGGAAGCAGCGAGACCTGTTAACTGCTAATTCCAAATTCCCGAAGAGTTTCAGAGGCCCTGTTGTGTGGTGTAAATTGGCCTAAAAAAGACAAATAAGAAAACAGATTAAAGACGGGTTACAGGATCTCACTCGGCTTCCAGGAAATAATGGCTCCTGTTCACATTGCTGACTACTGATGGGCATGACAATTTCTATCATTTGTCATACGAGCCAGGAACATTTGATATTAACCCTTGAAGACCATTAGGACCTCAGAGAGCTGGCCACCTCTTCTTTATCAGTAGCTTCAAGCAATCTGAGCTCCTGTTGATGAGGGCATTCCTAAGTACAGTGCACACCTGCCATGCCTCAGGCATCCGGGATCTGCATCTGTTACTGCTCTAATTTTCAGAAATATATAAGATGGAAAGGTCATTAGGAAGCCCAGAAAACTAAGACTCGGAGAAGCAACATTGCCCACCCACCCAGACCTGTAAGTGGCAGTTGTGGGGGAGGTGTCTAAGTTGAGAGTTCAGGGTCATGCTTGTTGCCCGGAGAAACAACTAGCTCTCTTTGAGCACTTTAGGAATGCTATGTAGGGCTGGGTTGTAGCTCAGTGCTTGAGCATGCGCTTAGCACGCGTAAGGCTCTGGGTGCAACCAAGTGCTGGGCAGAAGATGAGTGGGAAGAGCTGAGACTGGGCTAGCTCAGGAGGCAGGTGTCAGGCCCCAAGCGACCACCTCAGGGAGTGCAAAGTGAGTTAAGCCATCTTAAGTGATTAATGAGCAGACGGTGCTTTAAAAACACAATGCCAGGCAGGGGACAGGCATTAAGATCCCTGCGGAGTAAGTGGGGATCCTCTTCTTGTGCAGTCTCAGTCACCGCGGTGCTTCTTTCTGGAAAGGCTGGTGACCTTCAGATTCCTTCACGGAGTGGCGTGATGAGCACTTCTGACCGCAACCTGATTCAAACGTGTTAACAACATCCGGAGGCAGACTGGGGAGGTACCAAATTATCTCACGGTCAATTCATCGCACCTGGGTAGGGCTTACTGTAGGGAGTGGAAGCAGCCTGGGAGCTTAGATGGATACTGGACACTCTTTGTTCAGCCTCCAGCTTTGTAGTGAGCGTTGCATGGCACGGACTGGCCGAGCTCGCCTTTCCTTCGGCAGGCTATGAGGTCATTAAAGCGGGTTGCTTTGGTTTTTATCCCAAGAGGATGCAGGATACGCTTCCTAAACCCACAACCAACACTTGCTTACTTCTTCCAACAACCAACTCACCTGGTAGGAGACATACCTGTGTGCAAAAAAAGCTACACCCACCTTGATTGGGGGGGCATCAGAGAGGTTGCTATTCAGCTTTCACCTCTTTGTAACAGGTCAAATTATATCAAGAGGCAGACTCTTCCAGGCACTTAGGAGATGAACTGAAGAGTTCAGTGTTAACCTCAGTTACCTCTGTTACAGAGCAAATTTAAGGCCGGCCTTTGTTACATGAGACCCTGTATGGAAACACACACATTCACACAGACGGTGACAGAGAAATCAAAACACACACATACACACAGAAAGAGAGAGAGAGAGACAGAGGGAGGGAGAGAGAGAGAGAAAGAGAGAGAGAGAGAGAGAGAGAGAGAGAGAGAGAGAGGGAGGAAGGGGAAAATCTCTTTTGTCCATGTTGTAATGAGCTCTGTTCATAACTGAAAAGAGACAGTAAGCATTTGACCTGTGGAAATTTACTTTCTTGCAAAGTTAAGAGTTGCTTTTGAAAATCAGATTTATTTGTTTATTCCTCTGTGTGTGTGTGTGTGTGTGTGTGTGTGTGTGTGTGCACACATGCACGCGCACACCCTGGGGTCAGAAAACAACTTCCAGGAGTTGATTCTCTTCACCGTGTGGGTCTCTGGGCTTGAACTCAGGTCGCGGTTGCCTTAACCTGCTGAAGCATCTCCAGAGTTCCTCATTGCCTGGCGGATTTTTGAAAATAGTTTGGCAGGGTGTGGCGGTGCATGCCTATCAAACAGGCACCCAGCAAACAAACACAGGAAGGTCAAAACTTCAAGACCAACCTGAAGGCTACGGCTGGCCGGCAAGTTCTAAGCCAGCCTGGGCTGCTAGGGAGAGCCTGTCTGAAAGAGAACAACAACAAAAGCCAAGACTGAGGCCCCAGAGAGAGAAAAAAACAACAAGGGCTGGGAATGTGGGTCAAGGCTATTTAACCCCAGTTTA